GTCTTGTCTCGGTTGATGGCCGGAGTGGTTACACCTTGTTGACTCAGTGAAAGAGAAGTGACGGAGAGTGTGTGTGATATGATGTCTCATTTGGGACAGGGGCAGCCTCGGTCCCCTCTGTGCACTGACTGATCACATTACTATTAGTGAAAACTATTCTGTCAGTAAGAGAAGTCATGGCCCAGCAAAGGATGGCCTTAGGGTGAAACTGGGCATCCAGTGATGGGAAGCTGTCTTCAGGGGGGATCTGAGGTGATGAGATATGAAGGGTCTTAGCTGTCCTGTTCTCTTTTTTAACTCACAAAATCTTGAATCCTTTCTAAAAAAATTACATTTTCCTACTCAAATTCTCAAAAGATTTTTTGTTGACAAGACTCGTGTGACCACATGCATGTAGAGCAGTAAACTGTCACATATGTAACAGGTGACTCTGATTAATGTCTTATCCTAATAGTTATGTTAACATGTGTTTTCTGCATCATATACAACCGCTGCAGCTAAAGCTCATGATCTACAACATCATCTTTTGACACTTGCCAGCAAAGATCCCTTTCTCAATTCACATTCATGTGTCCAAATGCTGGCGTCTCCTCTTATCAAAACACTACCATCAGTCACTGGTTAGAGACAGCACATCCGTGCCTGTGTATCATCTGGACATCTGGACTTTACCAGATGTGAATTTCAGAGCAAGAGAACAAATTTAGGAACAAGGTTATGGAAATTCAATCACAATCCAGATGCTTTCTTTTACACTATTCTGCAGTGGTAACTAAGATCATTTACTCAATCAATGCAAAAATTAAAGGTAGATACTTGTATTTTACTTGAGTATTCCAATTAAGGCACCCTTATCCCCCACTGTGTTACAAGGGTAGTTTATCCCACCAGCAAAAGTCTTAAAGAAGCAGTGCTTCCAAGTGATATCTCAAGTGAAAGTTTGCAGCACCTCTTTGGAGATCAAGGCATATTTGATGGATGTGTAACCTCTGTCTAACCTTGCATAAGCTGATGCATCCGACGACATTGCCTGATCCCGCCTCATCAGATCTCTGTTGTTTTCATCAAAGTTACCGCTCTGTGAATCACAGATGCAGGACAACAGCACAATGTTTCCAAGCCACCATCTGATTCCGGCCACATCTTTGAAGACAAAAGAGGGGAACAAACACATCTTTAGAAGCGAAGGATGTAAGGGATCTATCAGAATCAGAGAGGGGGGAAAACAAAGGGGGACTCACTGAGAAGCGGTATGAAGAGGGGGAATATGAAAGAGATCACAGGGAACATGAAACAAACAGGGGAGACATAAAGGGAATAAAGTACACACCAGAGAAGAACCTGGCAGAGAGAGCCTGGCATAATTTGATCACGTTGTGGAAATTTTCAGCCAGAAGCACATCATAACTTAATCAAACCATATAATCTAAGGTCCTCTATCTTTCTCTCATGAACACTTCTGGAAAGAACTTATACAGAGAGCTGCAGCATTACAGACTATACAAATTGTAGACATAAAGCATATTTTTGCTTTATGAAGCTTCTTAACTTAGCTTGAGACAGGAATTTATTTGTGGGATATTATTTGACAGAACCAGGCTTCTTTCTAAATTTATTATTGTGTAAATTTAAGCTAAGCTACAGCTAGCAGTTGGCTAGCTTAGCTTAGCACATAAAGGTAAAATTGGAGAAACCTCTGGCTGAAGGTGAACTTCTTCTACAAATATGCAGAGTTTAAATAGCGGACAATACTTCATGTAAACATGAAGTATGTTACATGAAGTATGTCAAACATGAAGTATGTCAAGCTTACTGGGTACGCTTTTGTTCTAGCATGCAGTAGCTAAGAGCTTAGTATCCTGCTATACTTAAAGTTTTTTCTCCAAAAGATCAATTTGAGGCTCATTAGTGCTCACTTTGCCCCATTCAGCGATATCTGGTGTAGTGTTTGCAACAGGTGTTCTCAGAAAGATTACAATCGTACCAGATCACCAGCGATGATCAAGGTTCCCCACATTAGTCATCTTTTTGCTTTATGTACCTGATTAGCATCATCTGCTTTTTTATATATATAATTAATTCTTTTTTTAGGGCACAAATTAACACTAAGGTGCTTCACAGCAGTAACTTTGGCTTGGTTTCATCAACACCAAATGCCCGATCAATTCTCTATCACTGTACACCAATAAGCCAAGAGAAATACACATCTCTTAGAACTGCAATTCAGCCGTTAGAAAAGCTAACTTGCGCATTAAATAGTACTTGTGTAGACTGAAGAAAGGATTTTTGTTTTCTGTTAACCATATAGTTACTGTGCATTTTGCATATTCTTTGTCTTTCAGCTGCTCCCTTTAGGCGTCACCACAGTGGGTTGTCTGTCTCCATCTGACCCTGCATCTATCTACCTGGCACCTTCAACTTCAACCATTTGTCCAGTATATCTACTATCCGTTCTCTGCACCTGTCCAAACCATCTCAACCCTTGCCTCCTTAACTTTGCCTTCAAACCACTCACCCTGAAATGCCTCTCTGATATACTTACATCTAACCATGTTCCCTCCTGGTCACTCACAACAAAAACCTTAGTACTTTCACCTCTGTCACCTCCAGCTCAGCCTCCTTTAGTTTTGACAGTGTCACCGTCAAATCATGAATCGTAGCAGCTCTCATTACACCTTGTAAACCTTTTCATTACTGTGCATTTGTATAGATTGCTCATTCCTATAAAATAATAGATAAAATCCTTCTTTTGTTGTAGGTATTATAACTGTAGGTGGTCCTCTATTTTTCCAACACATAATTATTTTGTGGCAGACTCAGCTGGCAGAAGCAGTTTTTTTTTTTCAGCTGCAGAGTCAACATTCAGCAGGTGCTGACACAGGTGATCCATCCCCCTGTCTGTAAACACACAGATACACACACAGACTCGCACTACTCCCTGAAAAAATGCAATAATAAGTAAGTTATTTCTAAGTTTAAATGCATTTAAGCTTATGGGATCTCTATTTTGAACTCAGAAATACTTAAGGTCAAAGGTCCAAAAGGATTTCACTACAGAGAACTAACTGTGACTGTGTAAAATGGATTTCTTACGCCCCCTGTTGGTGTAATATACATATGTATAAAAAGTCTAAAACGTTTTTTAAAATGAGAAACTGTTACAGATTATTTCTATGATTTGGATATGCTTTTAGGTTGTTGTATGTTGCAGTAAACACATTATTCCACCATCACTCATGAAGTAAATTCAGATCTACTAAATATGAGTCAGTGGACCGTATATTGATTTTAGAAGGTTTTAGTGCTAACCTGTCATTCTCATTAGTCGCCTCTGAGCTTTTTTCAGAGTTTCCTGGCTTTAAAGAACAGCTCTCCAGGGGTGAAAGTACAGCAAGATTTCAGACCCATGGTTGCTGAGCCAAACAACTGAATCTTTTCTTCATGATGTTGCCGGGTGAAGTTAATGAAAAGCCTGTCCATGGAGAATGTCAGACACCTTTTTTCATGCAAGACATTTTGAGACTTCCCAGTCTCCTTTGTAATCTTTAGTTTTATTGTGTTTCCTTTTCCCCATGCTTGCTTGCTGGTGTCTTACTGTTTGTCTCCATGACTTTCTTTGTTTTGCTGTCAGGTACTGCCTATTTTACTTTCATCCTTATATGTGCCTTATAGTGTCTACCTGGTGTGCTGTGTAGTTTAGTCTTCATCTTTGTCATTGTGTGCTATCTATCTATCTATCTTTGGATGGTTACACTTTGCTTCAGTTTAAGGTTTGGTTGTTTGTTTTTTAACACAATTTTGTCTCATACCATAGACTGTATATAAAAAATGGGCGAGGATTCTACATCTCAAAATTGCATTAAAATTGCATTAGTTTCTGACGGCCAACAGGGGGGAATTCCATCTTCTCCTTTGCTCTTATGGTCTTACTGAATACAACATTATGTTAATCTTACTTGATGTAGTGACACCATTAGAGTTAACAAGGAGGATCAAACAGGGCATGCTATATGGTGCTGCTACATGCCATATTATACCATATGTTACCATAGTGCAACACCGTATACCATATTATATATATATATATATATGAAAGTAACATAGCATTATAGACACATCTAAGCACATGTCACATATCCTATTATAGCACATTTTCGCATTTTGCATACAAAGGGATGAAGGACCAACAAATAGCCTTGAGCACACATAGACACACACCTGGTGCTGATTTGTCTCACAATGAAGCCGGACCAAATGATGCTACAGAAGGATCTGTCAGCAAGCCCCATCTGCACACTCCCACACAGTCACGAAAAGACTAATCAGTAATAAGTGAAGACACATGTGTGAGCTCTGCAGGCTTGCGTAGGCTTGCTTGGACGTCACCACGGAGCTCCAACTGGCCAAAACGATAGCAGCATGGCACCATCTTGTGGCTGTATTCTGTTACTTCCTCATATGCAAGCCATGTATGCAACCTCCCCCCCAAAAATATACACACACACACACACACACACACATATATATATATACACTGCAGTTTCCCAGAAATTGCACTTTCTAGGTTCAAAATAAAATCGTGCTATCTAACAGTGGAATATGCAGTAAACTCAATGCACGCTAACAATGCTTCATTTATATGATATTTAATATTTAGACATGGGGCAACAGCCATTTTTACAGCACATTTTGCATAATTTATCAATACCTCCTGTATACAATCACAAAACCATGACATTAGATTTCTTTTTTTTTCTGTTTACTTACAAGTGAAAAACCAGACAGGTTTTACAAGCATACTCTTTGTACACTCAGCATACATCATCAATTATAAGTTTTCTTCATAACTTCCCCCTCTATAACTTTTGTTCTATATCTCTCTCTACACCATTCTTGTTTTTTCTTTAATAATATCCGGACACAAAAATAGTATGAACCACCAACAAAACATGCAACATCCAGTGTGAGCACATTTAAATTCTCCTGCAACTACTTGAGTTGTTAAGATAGACTTCTGTGTTAGACTCTGGTAAACTTTTAGTGTTTGGTGTAAAGGGTCGGGTAAATCTGGGTCCCTATAAACAGACAGAAGCTCTTCCCTCGGCCTATCCACTGTACAGCGATCCAAGGAGAAACAACTCCCTGTTACTTCTAAGATCACGCGACTTTTTTTTGTTGGTTTTTTGTTTAGTTTTGACTGCTAAAAGACCTATTGCTTCCCCAAACCCCAGTATAAAAAAACTATTTATTTACAAGGTTGAAGATAGAGATGGCATCTGGGTGTGTGTGTGTGTTCGTATAATTCATTGTGTGTTATGAGAAATTTTAGATAATTTAGACAGATAACATGTAAAGGAAGGGATACTGCATTAGAGCTAATGACATGCATGGACTTGGTGTGAAGATGCTACACACACACACACACACGAGCACATGGATAGAAAGTTAAGAAAAGCAACCGAAAATGCACGTTGCACCTTACGTTTGAGGTGTGAAGTCCACTGATTACAAGGTTTTCTTTAGTTGCTTTTTTTTTTTTGGTAATTCATACACTTACTGGAAAATGAAACAAATCGAAGGGGGAGTGCAAAACAAAGATAGGAATCATGACTAGGAATGTTCGATTTTCTTCCTTTGATTTATAGCTACGTGGAATTGGCGTTTTTAATGTGAGCATGTGTTCGTGCACAAGGGCAAAAAAGTTGGTTCTCTGAGTTTCAGGCCCCTCTAAATATTGTAAACAAGCACTACATAGTGTATAAAAACCTAATTTCTCTGTACATCTGATATGTACTGTAAACAAATATAATACAACATATGAAATTGTCTCACAGGCAATAAATAAAGATTCATATAGCAATACAAAAAAATCACACGGTAAATAAAAAAAACAAACAAACAGAAAACAACAAATCATATTAAAGCAGTAACCATTTCGTGGAGGACATGAAAACACAGCAGTGCAAAATAAACAGAAATGCTTCCTCTGAAACCAAGTGTCATATTTCTGGCAAGTCAGGGTGCAGTTATTTACGCTATATAGTAGATGTTGCATAGAAATCAGTCGGATATTTCACTGAAAATGTTAAATGAATCAGCCTTCCAGTCTTTTGACACCTGTACGCAGCAAACGGGACCTTTCTCATGAAATAATGGGCATAATAGGCGTTTAATGAAGTGCGCGTGGAGGTGGGACGAAACATCATCATGCTACTGTTACAGCATCGCGTCTTAGGATTGTAACTCTTGGTAGTTCCTGGTCTATAGTTTCTCACTTTCCCAGTGAAAAAATAATAATTTAGCAGGATGATGATGTTAGTTTTACATTCTAAGCAGAAAAAGTGCAAAATACTACAAAAGCGAGTGTCGTCGAGTTGACTGCCCTTACGAACGAAAGCAAGACTGATGCAAGACTTCTAATGTGCTCCAATCTTACAAGGAAAAAGAGGAAATGCTTAACTCTCATATAGTAAACGTCTCACATTCTAAGGGGCGTCATGAATAAATAAAACCTCTATGCCACAATCATCAAGACTTGATTGTCTGTGATAAAGATATCTATATATATCTATATATCTATATCTATATATGTAGAATAATGTCCAGCTATGACACTTCACTATATACAAAGTGAACCTTGGAGGTGTTTTTTTTTTTTTTGTTGTTGAACATGTGGCACTCCATACCAAATAGATAGACTCATGCGCACAACATGTAATGTCCAATTTGATATATATTAATATTGATGCTATATCAAACAATAGTCATCATTGGATAACATCAGGGAAAAATCAGATTAAAAGGGTAGGGAACAAGTAGTTTTTGTTAATAAAGTCAAAAACATGCTTGCAATATTTTTTTTTTTTGTATTGAACTGGAATGCTAGGTAGTGTATTATAAAATATACTTCCTTCCCAGAATAGATTGTTAAAGTACTTAAATAATTGAGGAGAAGACAAATCATAGAACTCTACGCTAATATCATAATACAAAAATAAATAAGAGGTCTCTATAGCAGAGTCTTTACTATTTCATTCCCAAAACGCTTTGTAAATCAATACAATAATAAAGCGAGGGTGAGCGCCCCATTTAAAGAACATTTAATGGATAAAACGTCAAAATAAATCAATTCGAATCTATAAGTGTGTCCATTCCCTGTATCTATTAGATTTGAAGTTCTGTGTGAATGACTGTGTGCAATGTCGTGAGCGTGTGTGTGTGTGTGAGATAAAGTGTGTAATACCTGGTTGATTCTGCACTTGACCTCTGAACTCAGCACCTGTGTTCTTCTTCTAAGTCCTGGCTACACCGCTGTACACTGTATGCCCTGTAAACATGTGTTTATTCCCTGTAAACACATAATGGTTTTCTCCAAGTTTTTCACATAATCAGAGCAGATATCATCATTTGCTGAAAGCATTTTTCCAAATAGCAAGCTATGCGAGCCCTGAAACAAAGGTTGAAGAAAAAAATCCCCCCTCTTCCCGTGCCCAGACCTTCCAGAAGACTGGATCAGCGTTCCAGATGTGGAACCCAGATGTCAGAAACCTGTTTTCCGCTTAAGCTTATTTCTTTTAGGTTGAGTCCCCTCCTATGAGTGGATCTGGGCAGTGCTGGCAAGCAGCTTGTGCCAGCTCACCACTCGCTTGCGTAAATCAACTTTATCCAGCCACACGTAGGCCTCGCCTATTAAGGTCTTCTTCACAAATTTGCCACCGTTGGACACCAGGAATAGCTGGAAAGAACAAAAGGCAGCAGTTTTGTGCGTGCTTAATGGGATGCTAATGTGGCATGTGACTGTGAACGTACACTTTGTGTGGCTTACCTGTAGCGCGTGTCCGGTGGGGTTCATGCAGAAGCGGAAGGTCTCATTAAAGGACGGCTCACGGTCGTGGCGACAAACCCTGGTCTTCTTCTTGATGATCCTTTTCTGGGTGGCGATATTCACCACGTAGAGCTTCACATAAAGATCTGTGGACAGAAACAAAGCAAAACAAAACAAAGTATGCGATTTCTCTGAGTGTGACTTCTGACATCTGCAGGAAAATGTCTTCCTATAATCATTAGTTTTAGGCATTTTTTAAAAGGTTTATTTAGTTCCGTCCTATTTTTCCACTTAGGATTAGGGATTAAGAACATATATCTTTAATAACTTTTTATTAGTGCAATAATAAAAAGTATTTTTATTATTAAAATACTGTCAATAATTTTTTTCCCGTTTCAAGCTCGTAAATAAAGGCTTGATCCTTTCCTTCTGTATCATATTTCAGGATTTAAGCAGATATCTTTTAAATAATTTCCTGTTTTCCTCTGACAGTTGTTTCTTGCAACCTGCTTTTAGTTTCACTTCCCCGCTTTCTCGTTACCCTCCTGTGTCCACTTCCCTGATTACTCCTTTGTGTATAAATAGCCCTGCCTTCCCTTTATTTTTGCCTCAGCATCTGCTCTTTTTCACAGTGTGGTTCACTTGCATATTTCTGTGATTACTTTGGATTCCCGATGGTTTGTTTTGGACTTTGTGTTCTCTGTATCAGTGCAATAAGATGGCTTTTGTTGCTTCAATCTGCCTTTTTGAGTGGGACTCCCAATTCTGCGAATCCTGACACTGGGTGTCTATAGCGAACACAGCTGCACTGAAAACTATACTTTTATATAATATATAAATAGTTTATATAACTGTCATAACTATAAAGTGTTACCATTATGAAACACCGAGCAAGATTCTGTACTGCAGAGCGACAGTGTATTCTCAGCTGAAATAAAGCCTTTTGTGCAGGTCCCATCTGGTAGCAAATGCAAATCAAGCAAGTGGCCGGCAGCTTGGGTATTAAGGAAGTAAATACTACAAGCAGAGGCAGTGTGGGCAACAATCTGCATTATATCAGCAGAAAGATTCATGTAATTGTGCTGTATAACTCCCAACGCATTTATCCAATGTGTCTAAATAATAATGCACAGAACAATCTTTAAAGACTAAATAGCATACAATTGTACTCTAATGAAGCTATTTGTATTTTTTTAACACTTTAATTAATCTTCAATTAAAGGGAGTTACATACTGTAATGTATGCTACTACTCGAACTACACAGTTTCTGTCAAATATAACTTATAAATGGCACATCCCACATCTTATTTGCTTAGGCTTATGTGTCATTAGTGAGCCTTTCCAGTCTCTTTTTTAGCCTTACACATATACAGTACATATTACTTAAGGGTTAAATGCTCTACGTGGGCCGGGAAACACTTTATTGCAACACCAGTTGTTCTGCTGCTATAAAACTGGCAAACATTTGAAGTGAAGCTAGATGCCAGAACACATATTTGTGTGGGCTTCCCAGCTGTTAAATGCAATATAAATTATGCGTATCATGGAAACTCTCTGTAAATATACTTTTCCCTCTCTTTCACCTTCCTCTTCCTAAAACACGATTCTTGACAGAATGGATGACAATAAGTGATATGTCACAACAGCTTGCTCAGTTGGTGTACTTTAGCTTGGCATTGGTTCGGTCATGTGCATAGATCAGGTATTTTCAGTTACCAGGCAGGTGATCTGGAGTCTTGAACTTGTAGGTGATGTTACGACACTGAAGAATCTCAAGGACCAGGTGTTCACCTTCCGTCTTCATTTCCTTCTTCAAAGCGATCTTTATCTCTCCCATTACCTGAGTCTTACCTAAATGCATACACACATGAAGCTAAATATGCACTAGTCAAGTTAACCTTATTTATATGGCACATTTTAAAACAACAGAAGTTGACCCAAAGTGCTTTCCAGGCACCTTCTAAATGGGTCAAATAAAATATCCTAAAAGAGCAATAGGATGTATTTACAGTGAACTTCAGCAAACTAGACCTCAAGTTAAAAGCTACTGAAAATAGGAAGGGCTTTAGAGCTCATTTAAGAAAATAAGGATGGGTATAAGCTTGATTATTACAATTATTTTAAATGTGGCATCTTTCAAAACGGCCGTACTCTACAGAGCACAAAGTGTGTGAATGCGGTGACTAATATCAGACATGGTCTGCGAGCAATCACATTTATTGATTTAACAAGGACGAGGAGAAGTTATGATGAGCCTTGTCTGGCCTCTAGTTGCCTTGGCAACTGAATGGAAGTGGCAGTTGTGAAAGCTGGGTCAACAAGTCCCTGGCAAATGTAGGCTGTGTGTAAGTGCACTTTTATTACTCATGTTGTGGGGACATAAATCTGTTTACACAGTTACATTGTGGGGAAGCAGCTCCTTTCTCAGGACAATAACATAAATCTTTACAATTTAGGATGAAGTCTGGGGTTTAAGGTTGACTATATAGTCATATACAGGCAGGGATTTGGTTAAATCAGTGGATGTAATGTCTTCTGAAGTGATGAAAAGTTAGAAATCCAGTGGCACAAAAAGACTGAGCGCAGATGGTGAAACGATAAAAAGATAAAATAAGTCCATTTAAAATGACAGTGTCATAATTACAGTGTGGTATGTCGTAAGCCAAATTACAACATAAGAAGGAGTAAGAAATCATATAATAGACCAATAGAGCTGAATTAAAATTGGATGAGAAACTATTGTGAGCAGTTTTAAAATATATACACTCCCCAGAAACTTTGTTAGGTACACCTGTTCAACTGCTCGCTCATACAAATATCTAATTAGCCAATCACATGGCATCAACTCAGTGCATTTAGGCACATGGCAAACATGGTAAAGGGCAACCTGCTGAAGTTGAAACTGAGCATCAGGAATGGAGAAGAAAGGGGATTTACGTGTCTCTGAATGCGGCGTTCTTGGTGACAGACAGCCTGGTCTGAGTAGTTTAGATCTACTGGGATTTTCAAACACAAACATCTCTAGGATTTATAGAAAATGGTCGGAATATAATATAAAAAATATCCAGTGAGCAGCAATTCTTTGGGAAATAAAGCTTGTTGATTCCAGAGTTCAGAGGACAATGCCCAGACTGCTTTAAGCTGATAGTTAGGGCACCAATAACTCAAACAACGACTTGTTACAACCAAGGTATGCAGAAGAGCATCTTCTCCAAGGTTGGACGTTTGTGTGAAAGCACAAAACATCCAACCTTGAAGGAGATGGGTTACAGCATCAGAAGACCACACTGACTGCCACTCAGCCGCCAGCTAAGAACCGGAAACTGAGGCTACAATTTGCACACAATTGGACAAAAGATTGGAAAAATATTGCCTAATTTGACTGGTGTGTCTTGATATCTGCCTAAACATTTCAAGATCAAGATAAAAGTATCGATGTAGTGTGTGGTTATATCAATGGTTCAGGCTGATGTGGTGAAATGGCATAAGGTACTTTTCTTGGTACAGTTTGAGCCCATTTAATACCAGGTGAGTCTTATTTAAATGCTACCTGTCAGTAGCTGCCTACCATGTCCAACCCCTTTATGGCACATAACAACAAGGGACTAGTTTAAATGTTGGTCATGCAAACTTCAGGAGCCATTTGCTAATTGCACTCTTAGATAATCATGTCATGAATGTTGTAATGAATACACCAAAAACACACACAAAAAAACATTTACTGTATAACAGATACACGCCCAACCTTCAGTGTCACTGTGTCCCAGTGATGATTTTATCACATCTGTGCCATTTGGGATCTTTCCACTGAGGAAGAGAAAAAAATATAGAAATTATTTATGTGCATAGCATATTACAATGTAGTACAGTATATCTTTAGTACAGCGAGGAATAGTTAAGCAAATTAACATGTTTAAAATGCTAAAGTGCCGCTCTTTGTGGGATAAATAAATTGACTCACAATCTGGGCACTTGGAAGATAGCACTGTCCACCTCGTTTGCCTCTGCTTCCTCGTCCAGTAGGCTGTAGGCGCTGCCGCTCAAGCCACTATCTAACGAGGCTGCTGTGACCGGGGCATCTCCTGATTTGTAGGTTGACCGAGCTGTGCATAGATATCACCACACCCATCACGACAAAGACAAAGAAAGAAAAATTGCCCCTTCCCCTCCTCGGTTGGTTCCAATAATTAAAAAAAAGAAAAAACATGGGCCAGGTAGCATTACTTATTTGCAGCAGTGGAAATCTGCTATAAAACTTGAAAAGTTTTTGCTAAAGTCAAAGAGAAAGCTACTTTAAAGCACACAGGACTGGATCGCAATGAATAGCACACAAACACTGAAGACTAGCGAAAAGCACATGGACAGACATCTTTCTCTCGGCAAAGACAAGACAGTAAGAAGTCACATTCGAAATTTCAAACTTAAAACGCACACATAGAACCAGAGCGATATCACATGTATATGTTTATGCAGACTAAACAAGAGACACGAAGACTCCACTGACATCGTTAGTTGTCTACATGAAATAAGAATCGCGTTCCGATTCCTCAAGTTTAAGTGAAACTGCCTCAGTGTGCTTCAGTTTCATATTTTCAGGACTTTAAAGAATGTTTACGACTGTGTCTTTATAATCTTTTAACTGTTTAATGCAGGATATTTTAGATGATTTTAAATGTTTTAGCTTTTTTGCTCTCAAACTGCTGATCAGGCAGTGTGATAAGAGTATGAATGAAGTAAGACGCGTGGATGCGGTGCACGAGAGGATCCATGCCGACACGTTTTTCTTTCGAGCCACTCGACACGGCATCAATGCCGGATTGCGAAAAAGCTCACTAATAACAGTTTAATGATGCAGCAGATGTGGCAGTGGCAAAGTGTTAACATTCAATGACTCATCTCACAGTTTTGGATATTGACTTCCTGGTATTAGTGAACTGTGTCGGTGGCCTTCAAGAAAAGTGTGTGCCGTGTGCGCATGAATCTGTGGTGATGTGGCTGAGTGCGACTTTCTCTCTATCTTCCTGTCTCTTTTATGAACATTCCCCTCTTTCTTTCTGCAGGTGTGCGTTAGTAGTACTGCATCCTCTCTTTCTCTCACTCTCTCTTTCTCTCCTTGCTCCATCTGTGCTTCAGTCACACGACAGAGAGGAGACTCTTGGGCAAACTCTCACCTCCGGTGCTCTGCGGTCTCTCTTCTGACACGGCTTTCCTGAGGGTCAGGTGTCTGCCGTCTGCTCTGCTCCCTTTGGCCGACACAATCGATGGCAGGGCAGGCAGCCAGTCAGACTGGGCTCTCTGAATGGTGAGCACGCCCACTACGCTGTGTCTCTGGTGCCTCAGTGAGAGGCGGCCTCTTTGGCCTGGATGAGTTTAGTTTCACAGGCACGATGTCAAGGGGTCAACGCCGGGAAACAAAGGTCATGGTGTCGGAATTCAAATTGGAAGGAGGGAGGAGCGAGATGGAGATTCAGAAAGCGCTTTATCTTCATCATGGCAACCAGCTTGACTGTCAATCACATGCAGCCACAGTGCGCAGTGCCCCTCCCACATCACTATTGGGTGGGGCGTGCAGCATCTACTGAGGTGCATCGTGGGTCCAGTAGTTGTTTAAACAGAAAAAAAAGGGTTGGGAGGGGGGGTGTAGTGGACTGCATGCACAGCCATCTCGGTGGAAGAGCTTCAGAAAAGCTGGTCGTTGTTTGTTAACAAAAAAGGAAATTATATAGAACTCAAAAAATAAAAATGAATAATAATAATAATAAAATCAAAGTAAAAATCCAAATAGGTAAATGATATAAGGGAGGGGACTGCAACTGTCTTCGGTTGGATCCGTTAAATGAAATGATTTAAGTTCTAGCTGGCAGCAAAAGTCATTTTCTGAATTCTGAAGAATTATTTTCCTGATGAACTGTTCTCTGTTACGAAACTGTTTCATCAGTTATCTTTCATCATTAGAGCGAGCTGCTCTGACATTATCGCCAAGCTCGTTTGAACATCTTGTGCAAATCTGCTTTTTTCTGTTTCATTTATTTACTACTGTTTACACTGTCATCTTAAAATTAAAAGCTAATGTCAGTCAAAATAAAAGCTAATATTTAAGTTTAACTCCATTAAAGTACATTTAAGCCTCTTTATTACATTTTTTTTTTTAACACTAATAGGATTTTAAATAGTTAGAACTGGATACTTATTAGCTAGCATTATGCGTATTTGGAAGAAGGTCAAAATAAGTAAGGGTCAAAGACAGTGTGCTACCTTACAGGTGAGGTGCTGGCTGCTGACACTTGTGAATACATACAGAAGAGAAGCCATGAAAGGTTGACACACTGTGGATACAATGCTGAAGAGAACCAGAGAGTGTGAGGAGTGAGGGGAAACTAAGTAAGGAAAAGGAAATAAAGGAACGGAAGAAAAAAAAACTCAACAAAAGGTAGAACAGATGAGTGCGAGGAGGCCATGCTGCGTAGGCTTTATTTGCGTCTTGGTTTACTTGGTTGGAGGCGTTGTGGCGGCTGCTGCTGTGACTGCTGTTGGGCATCGCCCGTTGCTACGGCAGCGCCTCCTCTGCTTCCATTGAGGCTTTCCTGATGGTGCTGTCGTGCTGCACTTTTGCTGGAGCGTGAAGCGCCGTGTGAGCGAGAGTGTTGGCTGTGTCCGTGGCTGTGGCTTTGGCTCTGGCCCTCGGACGGGGAAGGCTTCGATGTGCCAGGGCTACTGTGAGATTTCTCGATAGAGGGCACCTGTGTGTCTAAAACAACCAGATTCACCAAATTACCAAAAAAAAAAGGCTACCTTTTGCTTTTCTTAGTGGTTGTCACCTGTTGAGCACCACTCAGAATGAGCTGAGTTGCTGGCTAGTGAGATACTGAATCTAGCCAGCGTGTATTATAGTCTATCGTGCTCCCTAAATTTGATGTTACTTTGAGGTTATTTTTTAACTAGCATTCAAAGCCTTCCACGGCCATGTTGCCCTCTGTGTTAGCAGAAAGATAGAGGGAAGCTAAGGCAAGGCCTCTAAGCAGGGTGACATCATGGCAACCAAGAAAACAGACCACGAGAAAGCAAAAAGGATGAAGCGAAAGCTAGAATGGGTGCAAAAATGACTAGAGGAAGGTGGCGGTAATAAAGGAGACAAGACTGTAAAGAGAAAATGGACAGAGGTAGAGGTAGAAATAGAGAGAGCAGTGACAGGAAGAAAGCAAAAAAGAGAAAGAAAGGGATAAAGAAGAACAGACTACAGAGACGAGGAAACAGCAGAGAAGCAGCAGAGTGTTGTTAGGGGGAGATGGTGATTAAGTCGAGGTGAGGGGAATACATCGTGTCCTACCCTTGGCCGGATCTGGAAAGATCCCATGGCTTCGACTCTTGATGACAGATGATTTTGGGGAATCCTGATTATCATGCGAGGAGCCAGTGGTTTTAGGGGAGGAGTGCTGTGAGGAGGGTTTAGAAGAACTGTGACGACCCTGGCCTGAGTGCGAGCGTCTGTGGTGGTCCCCCTCGCTCTGCTCCTTGAGAGGGAGCCACCGCGGGATGTTGTCCAGCTGGGCAGTGTTGGACAGATCAATAAGGACCTACAAGCAAATAGAAAAGTTTTTAAAAGTTATAGAAAACCTTTATGGACTCAAATATGTATAAAATCTAATATCAAAGGAGCTTACCTCCCCCAAGAAATCATTAGAGGAGCCCTTGTCATAGTCCCACACGCTCACCTCCAAAGTCTTCTTCTTAAGCTAAAATGTACACACAGTTGAAGAGTTCATAAAAAAGTTTCAAGTTTAATGCTAAAGTTAAAGCAGTTTCACGCCTTCAAGCAGCTGAAAAACGAATAGAAACGGCGACAGAAGTTGGCAGTTTTGCTGTGATTGATACAGGCTCACTGAATCTAAAATGGGATCTAAACAGATATAATAAATCTCAGCGATACATCCATCTGCTCCGCTGAAAACCAGTGGCAACGACGACAGGTTGGCACAGAAGCAGTAAAAAAAAGCAATATATTGTGCTGCAGTTTTTTGTTATTTTCAATCTGGAAATTAATCAGTTGAGGGCTTTCTTATTTGTCCATTCATATATGAACTATTACAGAGTTATAGAAAAATGCCATTAAAAAAACAGCGTAAGATAACAATAACATTTTTGAATGTCTGATCTCATAGGTTTACATGTTGCTTGAGTCTATAGCTATATTAGTGGTTTTGTTACTCTGTACTTTGGCAGAGCATGCTAACAAGCTCATGATGAAGACACCTCCAGCTTATGATGTTATCATGCTGATACAATTGTGTTTGCTAAGAAAAAACCCTAAAACATTTAAGCAAAGCAAAATATTAGCATTAAGACAGTAATATCAATACCATGCGTGAATAATAGACTGTATATAAAAGAGGCACTGCCACCCAACCATTTAGAGTATAAAGACCAGCGTGTAAGGAAGCAATATATGTTGATTCTATTTTCTTACTAATTATATCTGGATGTGAGAGTGAAGAGCAAAGTTATCAGCTAATGTTAGCAAGCTTGTTTAGCAGATTGCATACAGTTAAAAAAAAATGGTACAGATACTGTATATGTGCACTGCAAAGACACAGAATCAAAGCTGGGAGACAAAAGTTTTGGAAACATTGTTGGTATGATTAATCCCAATTACACAAAGCGAGTCATATTACTGTATTTGTCAGATAATTAAATTAATAATTCTCCAAAAAGCACCAACACCACAGTACAGTGAGGCCCAGTTCAGTGGCTCGAATTAGAAGAAATAAAGCTTAGAAGACAAGGTTTTTTTATATAGGGTGGTAAAAATGTTTATTTCTTCTACAAATTTTAGAATTTTAATGTACGAGACTATTTATTGGCTCAAGTGCACTCTGAATTGGAGATTTTGGTTTGCTGCTGGCTGTGTACAAAATTTCATTGCGAAATTGTAAGATTTCCTAAATGAATCCAATAGGGTTCAAACGTGTCATGTGTACCTAGACACCGTTTTAGTGTAATCATGTGTCTCTGACCAGACAGTACCTGTTCCAGGTGGATGTTCTTATAGATGACAGTTTGGTTCCACTCAGGGTTGATAGTTTTGCCTGCGTGTTTGGTCTTCCTCTTGTTTTCGGCACTGGGGGGAACACATCACAGCAACACACACTTGGTCAACGACATGTATGCAAATAACATGTGTGTCAGTGAACCTACGCATTGCAGGGAGCAGAAGATACTGGAGTAGGGCACAATGTCACAGTAGAGGGAAAAGAATGAATGTGATGCACATTGTTTGGATGGTAACAATGTATGGGCCTTTGTGCATGGATAGCAGGGTATGATGTCAGGGTGTGCTGCAAAAAAGTCCATTTCGATGCCCATCATGTTATTTAGTTTCACAGAATTTTGATGCATTGAAAGAACAAATGTTTCAGGTCTCCAGTAAGAAGAAAAGCACCAATAGTCCCAATGACAAAAACAAACGTAATGACCGTATACCAAATGTTTTTTTTTTACCTATTCTGAGTTAATATATTTCACATGAAAAAGTTATGCTGGGCATCAATAAATGACTTGTTGACATGGATATTTTTTGCAGTGTGTAGGGTTTGAGTTCAGACTGTAGCATATGAGTAAGTTTGGAAGAGTTAGGTTGGAAAAGACAGGGACAATCTACTCTACACTGGACAACAATGGTATGAATTGGCCGTAGGGCAAAATAATAGTGTACACTGGATGTGGATGCAGGGCACTGAGGGTACATTATGATGTCAGGGCACAATGTAGGATATTACTGAGGGATTTTAATAACAAAACAGGGTCAAAATCTAGGGTACTGGGGCCGATGTTAGGGTTTCAAATTACGATGGTTAGAAAGGAAAAACAGACCATCTACCAGAAAAAGACAACAGTTAGCTCTGAAAACAACACAGGGAACTATTAGTTTATATGTGGTAAGGAAAACAGATGGTAAAATAATAATATCTGGGGCATCCAAAGAGAGTATCATGAAATAATGGATACTAAGGGAAATATATTCAGGTTGAAGGGAGTTAGTAGGACTGAACTAAGTGACTTTTATCAATAAACTTCCAGAGAGAAATTGAACTTGCTCTTTTTTTTTGCCTTAACCAAAGTGACAACCAATTATCAACCAAAACAGAACCAAAGTGCCAAAGTGGGCAAGTCACATACCTGGCATTCTGGACAACCATGACCTGACTGAGGGGGTCCAGCATGCATTAAATATAGAGAACAACATACAGAAACAATAGTCAGAGGGAGGGTGGGGGCGGGTCAAAAAGTGTCTGTGGACTGTGAGGGGAGATTGAGTCTACACTTAGCTTAGGTTTAGCGTGTGATTTGTCAAGTGTGCCTTTTAGAAAGGGGCATGAACAGGAAGCTGCGGTCTGCTGCAGTGGTGCAAAGAAATTTTGCTATAGTGTGTACATGACTGCATGTATGTGTGCTGAGAGGACTCCCAGGTCACATGACAGATCTTGTGGCAACCGGAGTGGAGATCTGTCACTCATGAGCCAGATCGCGCAGTCTGATATATTTCTTGAAGTTTCTGCTGCAAGAGCTGGAGGCTCAACATTTGTTTTACGTAAAACAAAATAAAACCCACTGTTTTTTTTCTGGCTTCTCAGTATTGAGACACTGTCCCACGTAGTTGCCAGAAGACCTGCGATGCAACTGAAAAGCCTCTCTATGGATTGCAGCTGGCATTGATAGCTGTGAGATTCCATGTATACACACACAGGGTATACACGAGTATGTGCACACATGCCTTTAAGTGTGCATGTTTCCATAACCACTTTAAAGTGGCCGTAGGGCTTGTGGCTGCCATTCTCTCAGTTTCTTTAGCATAGCCCCAATCCCATTCATAACTCACAATGGCATCGGCGCATGAGTCAACCCGAAGGCGTGTGAGAGTGGCAGCTAAAAACCCCACAGCTATACAGTATATTATTACTTTTATCTGAAATGATCCCTGGAAAAAAACAAAAAACATTCTCTCGAGGGACCTCATCTCAAGCCGAAGAGAAGGTGGGAGTGTCAATTGCATTACAGTGCAATCACTGCGGGAAAGGGAGCAGTAGACTTAAGCAGAAGTCTGGATTGTATTGCAAGTAAATATGAGAGCTATTGATTTTGACTGCACTCACACCTACAGTGGAACACACATCAACAGGGGCAACTCAAGTGCCTCATTATATTTACATAATGTTTATGCCATTCGGGAGCAAAAGAAATGGGCTGCTGAGTTTTGGACTGTCAAAATAAAAGACGACCTTATGCATAGTAGCACATAGGCGTTATGGAGTTCATATCAGAAACGTCCATGTGTTGCACATTGAATGATGTAATGATAAGCCAAAATCAATTGTACATCGATTTTAAAATGAATGGAAACTAAGTTACTGCTTAACAGACTGGCTGTCTGTGTAGCCTAGATGGGGGAAAAAGATCTTAGCTAGAATGCTGCTACTGCTTCTGAAAATCTGTATACTTAATTACTTGTTCTAGCTCTGAAATCCTTAACATGTGCTTTCAGTCTAAACACTACTAACTCACCCTCTCCCTGGCAGGAGATACACTTTAACGAATGGATCGGAGTAGCCATTGTTATCCCGCGGGGCAAGGTTTCTGGCCTGCAGGACGTGAACTATCAAGTTGCCAAGCTGCTTGTCATAGTGGATTTGAAGCTGCAAAAAGAAACACAACTGAATTACAATAGATTCGGCTGCATTTTAGTCTTGCATCTATCTAATTTTAGCAAAAATAACATCCATCTACTCAGATACTATGCTCTTAGAATTAAATCTACACAGATTACAGATTTACAGTAATAGTTTTGTGTCACAAACCTGTATCTCTCCGGATACAGGGTGGGATTGGCTCTTTGTTCCCTCTGCAATCTGTAAAAGATGAAAACAACATGGTGAAACAGACAAAAGTGTAGGTGGAACTCTTGTGTGTACTGGTAGCTGATTATAAGGTGGTGTACAGTACTTTATGCTGCACTTTAGGCTAAACTGTGAAGTCTCCGAATCATAGAATCTGTGCATCTGTTTCAGGGATCCCTTCAGATAATTGACATCCTTTAAAAAAGACATATACTGTTACCTAATTATAACTAATAAATAATTATATTATACACATCTTAAATTCATATTGAGTTAGAGGTAGATATATCTCTTATGAAGTCAAAGACAACTACTCGCAAACGTTAAAACAAAGTTTAGAAGAGCTCTTCAGAAACTCTCTGCAGACAGAGGCATAGTTTCAAAATAAACTTTCCCAGAAACTCAATATTGCAATCTTAATGGTGCTTACAGTGCAGCCAGGACTGCTATAGTCAAAAGAAGACCATGTACTTCCATCTCCATGGATTTACATGGATAGAGCAAGCATCAATATCAAAGGTTGTGACACAGAGTCACGAAGGTTGGTTGCAAAGCAGCTTGCAGATTTGCAGCTACTGTGGGTAAGCTAAAAAAGCCTGTGTGAATAGCATGCTCTATGGTATCTGTGGATTGTGGCTGGGGTTGACATGTTTGCTTGGCTGCCTAAAACTTAAAGAATGTGATTGATAGCGTGCCTCTAAACTCGCCTTGCTGCTGTGACGTTTCTTGCTGACTGAGGGGGATCCTGGCTGACCGGGGCTGGAAGTTGCTGAAGTGGTGGCAGGCAGGCTGGAGGAGGAGGTGGACAGTGGAGCCTGCTGCTGTGACACTTTCTGCAGCTCGGCCGCTAGCTGCTTGGGATCAACACCTGGAGATCTGGGAGGTCTGTCACCTAGAGAGTTAACACATATGGCTATGAGTACAGATCATCATCGCTGCACATAACAAACCAAAGGATCTTGACAATGATCTGTCTAGGGACCAAATGAATCATCACTATGGCTCTTAACCCAATTCACTTCCAAGTCAAATTCAATGGAAAAGAAAAGTGAATATTAAAGTGCCACAATAGAGACAGCTCTGTGCATGTTTCCAGAACTGTTCTGTGTAACAGACTGACAAACTAGGCCACAGAAAAAAAAAACATGGCTCAACTTGAGAGAGAAAAGAGAGCTGAAGATAAAAAGCGATATGAGAAGAGCATCTGAAAATAACAAGAGACAAAAGTTAATCGGGAAAAATTGAGGACGGAGGAACAGGAGTGAGGAGGAATCAGTGGAATCAGTTGCAGTTGAAATTATAATAAAAATAATTAGGTAATAACTTACCTTTGCTGTGCTCCTGGAAATCTAGGTGCTGGGAACCCTCAGACTCTGCCAACATGTTGAGATCCCTGTTGGAAAAATTACATTTCATACATTTCTGAAAAGTGAAACTAAAGGAATTAAATGACGAGGAAAAAAGACAAAAAAAAGGTACTAGAAAAGCCA